ATATATATATATATATATATATATATATATATGTTACAGTAAAACCTCCTATAACGCGATTGATTCGTACCGCGTTATATGGAAACCAAGTGGAGTGAAACTAGGAAGAGCAAGATAGAATGTCGAACGCGATAGCTATAGAAAGATAGCAAAAATTGTTGGATGTTTGTCAACGTGCCCCATTGTAAACTAAATAAATATCATAAATCCTTTCAGTGAAAATCTATCCTCAAGTATTTTCATCGTTGGTCAACACGGTCAGGAATTTTCCGTTGCAAAAAATTCCTAAACTTGTACTGACAAAGGACGGAAGAATATTACAAAAAAAATAAAAAATATAATATACACTATTGTATAATGTAAGAATCTGAGCACTGTGAACTGAAATTGAAAAATGGTGATCACCAAAAAGAAGAGAATTTTCTTAAAAAATTTAAGTTGATGGAATGTTGTTGAACGGAATCCACGTTATAAGAGTACCGCGTTATAGGAGGACTGTCGCAATTTTGGCTCCGCGTTATATGAAAAACGCGCTAAAAGAATAGCGCGTTATAGGAGGTTTTACTGTATATATATTGAAGTCAGTGATTCATATCGATTAATAATAACACCAGTCAAAAAATTAAATTATAGTAATTTGGGACTTGGTTGTCTAGACCGGTACTGAAACCTAGGATATTTCGCTTTTCGAATAAATGCTCTAATTATATATATATGAACAACAAGAAAATATATATATATATGAATGACACCACGAGATTTGTATTCGTTCAGTTTTTGTAATCTTTTGTATATATATAAGAAACGAGACGAGATATTATTAATATTCGAATCGGAATCTATGACAGTAATATTGAAAATATTCAAACAAACACATGGAAAATAATCTAAACTACTATAATACTTCGGTTGGACAAATGCAAGCAACAACAAAAAATGCTGACTTTGTAGGATTAGTTTCTACTAAAAAAATTGCACATACGTTTCTTAATCCTTTTAGTGCCGAACTAAAAGTATCGTACCTATGCGAAAGATATCGAACTAATTTAACGAATTTGCTAAGGTTTATCGAAAATGACGTATCGTCATTCGGCACTAAAGGGTTTAAGCCTAGTGTGTAAATTGTTGTAACGTCGGTATGTTTAGAAATAATCATCCATCGATCGATTAGGGAATGTTACACGCAAGAATAAAATTAAATAAAATTACAGAAATAAATGAATGAGATTATACAATATACCGATAATAGAGCTACATTTATTTTTGTTCATTCTTTTCTTTAGTTTGCTCCCCACGCACTGAAAAAAATAAATAAAATAAAAACATCGTTGATTCGTTCTTGCCATTATTAACAAACGAAAAAAAAAAAAAAAAGAAAACGAGATTTGTGCTAATATTATTCTGATGTTTCTTCCAAATATGAATGAAATGTTTCATCAAAGGAAGTATTGTAATATCACTGTATTTAGAAATAATTTATGCATTAATATTGTTAAGTGCAAATAAATAAAAAGAAATCGTAATGAGATTTTAATGAATATACTTATTTTTTAACATTTTCTAATTATACAGGTTTTTTACTCCAAAATTCAATTTTATGCAAATCAAATAAAATTTTGTCTACAAAATTGTTTTATTTTTTCTTAAACTTTAATTTAAAATCCAACTAGTTATATGTTTGAAAAAATAATAATTATAAGTTTGGTTAAGTATATACATTATCAAGTATCTACACACAATTTTCATAAGATAAGTAATTTTGAATTTCTTAATAATAAAAGGATGAACTTAATTTGCAAAAAGTTAAATTTGATTCATAAAATCTCTCTATTTCTATAATATTTTTAATCTCACACATATACAACATTCGTAATTCTACCATTCCCATTGTAACACGTGGTATATATATAGGTTATACGTAAACCCTCCTTACTACAGTGGTGATGTAATAAAAATAATTTATCAACAATAAATATATAAATATTTAATACCTCTTTAAAATATATAATTCGTTGTATTTTTTTTTTTAATTTTTATACTATCGTAGATAACATAATAATATTTTTATAAATAATTAAACTATTATGAGTATTGATAATACATGTGCGACATAACCTTACAATTTTAAAATAACATTATGAAGGTAACTTTGGACATTTTCTATATTACAATTCTTTCTTATAAATATAATCTAGGTTAATGATATTTCTTTTATCTAAATATGAAATATTTTAATAACATCGTATTTAACATGAGCTATTCATTTGATACAGATGATCTCGCTTCAAACATTAGTAAAAATTGCTGGTTTTACTGGTTTAGTAGTAGGTGGAACGGGATATGCATTTCGTTATAAAATACAGAATGAAATTCGCGAAGTTCAATTTTATAAGGATGCGATGCAACATTTGTACAATCATCAGAAGGCCCTAGATTTATTGGGAACTCCGATAAAAGAAAAAAGAGTTGATATAAGCGATGCGGAAAAAAATGGATCTGATGACAATAAAACTTGGCTTACAATTCCTATCATGGGATCTAAAAGCTTTGGAGAATTGCGTGTTGAAGCTCTTGTAAAGAAAGACATGGAGAACAAACTGAAAGCTGATATTTACAAAGTAGAATTATCGATTAAAGAAATACCTGGTAAAGTGTTTGTGATAAAAGACGATAGCGCAGCTATTACTGATAAATTATAATTAAATTTGTAAATATATTATATGTATAAATTATATATTCATATGAAATCAATAGTTTATTTGCATAAATTGAGAGAGATACTCACATACAAGTATGTTTTTAATACTAATTTATCATATTATTTAAATGTTTGCAATGGCATATCAGTAACACCTTTAGGAACTTTCAAACCACGTCTAGTATATCCTAAAGCAGCTTGAATAATAAATATGGCAGCCTCGACAGTTAATTTAACATCTCGCTGATCACCGATATGAGGATTTACTTCTACTAAATCTATAGCATTTAATCTACGTGTTCTATGTATTTCTTCCATTATATGAATTGCCTCTCGTAGAGATAATCCACCTCGTACTATAAAACAAATATATATACAGTATAATCTGTAAAATAAATTATTATAATTTTAAACTGTATACCTGCTGTTCCTGTACTTGGAGCTTCCAGGGGATCTAAAGAATCAATGTCAAAACTAACATGCAGTGATTTTACCCCGTAAGGATCAATTTTATCTAATGCCATAGAAATTGTATTATGAATACCTGAAATAGCAAGTTTATGAGAGAAGTCAAAATTAAGATGCATAATTTAGAAAATAAAAATTACCAAATCTTTCAACGTCTTCCATCCCAAAAGCAGGAATACCAAATTTTTCAATAACTAATCTCTCGTAACGATCTACGGATCTTAATCCAATGTAAGCCACGTTTCTAATTGATAGCCTGTAAATATATATACATTTTCTACATATTCTCTCACAGAATAGAACATAAATTAAACTTGTTAAAGAAATAATATATAAAACCAACATCGGTTTCTGCCAATCCATTCCAGGTAAATGCGGCCAATAATCGGAAAGCTCAGTCGTTAATAATGCTACAGGCATTCCATGAACATTTCCGCTTTCACTAGTTTTATTAGTATTTAAATCTGCATGTGCATCGATCCAAAGTACTGCAATATCTTCCATTGCCTTAAATGGAAAGCGAATTTAATATCTATTGCATATTACTTATTCAAAACATACTGTTTTTTTAATAGCATACTTGAACATGGCCATCTATAGTTCCAACGCTTACGCTGTGATCTCCTCCAAGCGTTAATACGCATCGATCATCTTTTAATATCTTTTGAACTTGTTCAGATAAAAGTTTAGTACATGCTGCTACATCTTCCAAATGTGTCATATTATTTATATCGCCTGTACCTACCGTTTTGTATATAATGTCTCCATAATCTTTAACATCTAAACCTATTTAAAAATATATAGTTTTTAAATACGTTAATAAATATAATTAATTATTTACAATGAAAATATGAACTACCTAATACTTCTAATTCTTTTGTAAGACCAGCATCTCTAATTACTTTAGGACCAAGAGCGACACCTTTTTTTTGCTATAATATTTTAGAAATAGAAAAACATGGAAAATTAAACACTTATAATTATTATTGATAAATTAAATTTACCTGTCCTTTTTCAAAAGGTACACCTATTAAACCAACTTTATTATATTTACGCGTACTAAACGTTCTTAGAATCGTTCGAAACATTTCGTTTGCAGACTTTATCTATAATACATAAGTGAATAAGTTTAGAAGAAATTACTTTGAAATTGCCAAGGTTATTCCACTCTGACCCATAACATTGATAATATACATTACAACATATTTCTAATATAATAATCATGTCGACGACAACATAACGTAAGTTATTTATAGACTTTCTTTGAAATTCGATTTATTTTCTCGGATATTTATAGTTAATATTATTTAACAAAATAAAAGAACATCTTATAACATATAAATTTATGTTAACATTTATCTAAAATAACATTAAGTTAACAATAAATAAATATTTATTTTATTTTATCAAATACATTATTAATTTGCCCGATACTCTTCCTTATACATGGTAACACGTAGAAATAAAAAAAACCTTGATTGATGATACTTTATTGGTATAATTGAGATTTGAATAATGTTTTGAAACATTCATTTTAGTGTATTCTTTTGTATAAAGGGAAGATTCTCAATGACAAAATGCACGTACAAAAATGTACTTCTTGCTTAACAAATTTTTATGCTATCTTTCATCAACTTATTTAGGTCCAAGCATATCTTCGGGTTTGACCCACGAATCAAATTGTTCGGATGTTAATCCATTTTTCAATGCAGATTCTTTTAAAGTAATTCCTTCTTTGTGAGCCTGTTTGGCAATAGCAGCAGCCTAAAAACAAAAATATTTATTGTCAAATTTATATATCACGAAACAAATGTACATTATCGATGCAAAATAAATGTACCTTATCATATCCAATGTGATGATTAAGTGCAGTAACCAACATTAAACTTTCATTTAACATTTTCTCTATACGATCGATGTTCGGTTTGATACCAACAACGCAATTCTTTGTAAACGACTGAGCAACGTCTCCTAACAATCTTGCAGATCGTAATGTATTGGCTACCATGACCGGCTTAAATACATTAAGTTCAAAATGACCATTGCTTCCGCCGATAGTGGTTGCAACATGATTTCCCATTACTTGACAACAAACCATGGTAACTGATTCGCATTGAGTAGGATTTACTTTTCCTGGCATAATTGAACTGCCTGGTTCATTTTCTGGCAAGGATAATTCTCCTAAACCACATCGTGGACCACTTCCCAAGAATCTAATATCATTTGCTATCTGATAAGCGCATAAAAAATAAATTCATACAAATCGTGTATTTTATTATTTAATAAAAAATAATAAACATATATACCTTCATCATAGATACAGCAACAGTATTTAATGCGCCATGTACTTCGACTATAGCATCGTGCGTGGCAAGAGCTTCGAATTTATTTGGTGCAGTAACGAATGGTAAACCTGTTAATTGAGCTATTTTTGCAGCTCCCTTTTCAGCAAATCCCTTACGAGTATTCAATCCTGTTCCAACCGCTGTACCACCTAACGCTAATTCGTATAGACGAGGAAGGGTATCCTTTACTCTACAAATTCCATTTTGAATTTGTGTCGCGTAGCCTGAAATTGCAAATATTATATATTAGAAAAAGAAAAGTTCTTAAATTTTATTTATATCCTTTTCTTCAATCAAATTTTATACCTGAAAATTCTTGTCCTAATGTAAGAGGTACGGCATCTTGAGTATGAGTTCTTCCAATTTTAATTATATCCTTCCAATCCTCCGATTTTTTTTTTAACGCTTCTAACAAACAGTTTAAACCTGGCAGAAGTACTTTATTAATTTCTAAGGCTACTGCTATGTGCATTGCAGTTGGAAATGTATCGTTGCTACTTTGTGACTTATTTACATGATCATTGGGATGAACCGGTGTTTTCGATCCCAGTTTTCCACCAAGTATTTCAATAGCGCGATTTGAAATCACCTAATTGATATTTTGAAAGAAAGGCTAGATCATACAATATCATTCACAATTAAAACACTCAAGTGTATTAAGTAAAAAATCAAACCTCATTAACGTTCATATTCGTTTGCGTACCAGATCCCGTTTGCCATATCACTAACGGAAAATGATCATTATAAAGTTTGCCACTTATAACGTCGTCCGCGGCTTTGCTAATAGCATCAGCAATTTTTGGATCCAATCCAAATTCTTTATTTACTTCGGCAGCAGCTTTCTTTAATATTCCCATGGCTACAATAATGCCATACTACAAAATTCAATAAATGTTGATAAGTATATCGTAAGAAGATTAACCTTTTGAGCAATGAATACTTTTGAAACGCTTCATAGGAATACAATGTTTTATTGCTATAGTACAAGTTCCATTGACTGATCGAAGACTCAAAACAATTATTAGCAACCCGCTAATCAACATTGCATTCTTTGCATTGGTATCGACAAATGCATATACACATTCAAAATACTCAAAGGGTTAAATAGAATAATAAAATAAACGTATATTATAACAAAAATCTAAATGAATTTTAAAGTACCAGTCTTTCTTACAGGCATGCGTTCAAATGTATCTCCAATATGAAAGTTCATCATCGATCTAACAGTCTGAGCTCCATAATACTTATTTGTAGGCACTTTTAATTCCCCGAACGTATCTCTTTCAATTCTATATTCTTGGCCTTCTAAATCCTATAACAATGATAAACAAAATGAGAAAAAAAAAAATTATATGATAGAGTTATTAATAAAAATAATTTTACCATTTCTAAGGAGTTAGTAGTCATATTAAAATGCTAATAACAAAAATCTGTCTCTATCATAAAATGGAAGTATGTGGAAGTATTCAAGGTCATTAGAATGTGAAATCTTTTATCACCATTTATTAAAGCAGGCGATTGGAAAGAAGTATTGGTAAAAAAACATGTAGACACATATACACTCAAATTCGCTTATGTGAATAAGAAATTTAATATTATAATTTTAATTTTTAATTATTGACATAAGATTAATGAATATTTAACGTTTGAAAAGATATATCGGGTAGACATCATATGTGTTTTTAAATGTTAAACTTTACATAATGATAGAACAAACGTAAAAAGAAAGAAAAAATAATATGGTTGACGTTTGTTTCAAAGCTCATTTTCTTTTCTTTTCTTTTTTTTTTTTTGATCGTCCGGTGACAGAGACATCTCTGTTAAATATTAATTAACATAAGATAATTCATTTTTAACGCATAAATCAATGAATTAAAGTATCTTTTAGGTACATGTGAACAATAAATTCTTATCTAAAGTTGGCACCTGATTTGATTACATAAAAGCAACATCTCATTTGTCGCGATAGATGAGAAAAAGAAAAAAAAATACGAAAGATATTAAACAAATTTATTTCTTTTATTTTTTTATTATATTTTAATTAACAAAATATCACACAATTGGAGCGTTAAAATTTCATTCAAAATGATAATCTTAATGTACCTTGCTATTGTTGCAAATTCGTGATGTACTTAAAGGCAGTCTTAAAGTAAGAATTACTGGAAAATCTTTTTTTAAATGACGAAGATTTAACATTCGCGACTTGAGAATATTTAACCCCATTTTTATATTTCTTTTTTGTCGTATAATTTTTACTGCTACTTTTATTAATTCACGGTTTACATGGATATGTATGAATGAACGTTGATATTTTTGAATGTCTTTCAATGAGTTGTTTTCTTTACTATGAGACACGATGAACGAAATGATACTTGTGCGAAAGTCAATAAGATTTGACGAAACGTATATCATGGGAGTAGTAATTAGTTCAGGGTTTCGGTAATAGACGGCACTGAGTTCGCTGTTATAACATTTTTTTTTTTTTAATTTAAATACACATTTAAATTAATCATCGATCAAAGCTGATTGGAAAAGACCATGTGGTAAAATAATAATAATAAGAAGAAAAAAAACACATTAAAATTTTATATGTTAATCGTTGGAAAATAAATAATATCGAAAATGATTAAAAAGAAAAAGAAACGTTAATGCGTCAAAGAAAATATTTTGTTTGAATAAAATTATGAATTAAAAAATAATTGTGTGTTCTTGTTTTCTGACAAACTTTGTTCGTGCATTCGATACCTAATTAAAGTGTTTATTTCCAAGAATTTAAGAGATCATTGATAAAAATGGAAAAGGAAATACATTACGCCAGTGTTGTAATTTGCATTTAGAATTTTTATCTTCCTCCATTTTTCTTTTTTAATTTGAATAAAGATGGTTCTGTGAAATTTTCGTCCCGTTGATTGAACATTTTTAATTGCATTGTTAACAATGAAAAAATAAATAAAAAGATAAAATAACGATTTAATAAACTCTTAATTAAATTCTTATATCTCTCTTTAAATTAAACTTTTCTCTCTTAATAAAATCTTATCAAACGTGTGTGCAATTTATTAGATAATATTTTTTTAACATAGGTGTGAAAAATTCTACTATACAAATCAAACGAAGGGTAAATGGTAATGTTAGTATATCTTTGTTTTTATTTTTCATTACAAAATTAAAATGTCTATCTGGTAAGGTAATATATATATTTATTCATATAAATAATAATTTTTTTTAGAATTTTATCCTTCACCATTTCTTGCAATTTGAATAAAGAATGCTATATATTTGCCACATTGACTGTACACTTTCAAGAACAATAGATAATATTAATCTTTAATAATTGTATTTTAATAAATTGACTTCAGTTGACACTCGCTGTAAGTCTGATTGGACGTGTGTGCAATTTATTAGACAACATTTCTTCAACATGAATGTGCAGCCTTCTACTGAACAGTTAGTTGAATGGTAAATAATATTTTTATTTATATTTTTCATTGCTAAATTATTAAAATGTCTATCCTATAAGACAATATTTATATATATAAAAATAATAATTTGTCAACGGCCTTGCCTTGTTGAAAAAACTAGTTCCCGTCAGATCATTAAAGCTAAACAACGATGGGCATGGTTAGTACTTGGATGTGTGACCACTTGGGAACACCATGTGCTGTTAACCCTAGGGAGATGTGTAATGGCTATGTGAAAGTGTTGTCAAGTTCTCCCAAATCCATAAGAGAAAGAGAAACAAAGACATATGAGTAATCATTTATTTATAAATTGATGTGTATACAGCAATCCTACAGGTTCCAAAAGGAGAGCGAGCATAGATTGGGATGACTATTTTATGGGAGTAGCATTATTATCTGCTAAGCGTAGTAAAGATCCGGTTACTCGTGTAGGAGCATGTATAGTAGATGAAAATAACATAATAGTAGGCGTTGGATACAATGGTATGCCCAGAAATTGCAGCGATGATGTATTTCCTTGGGAAAAGAATTCCAATGAGGAGTTGAACAATAAGAAACTATACGGTAAGGATGTTTGATAATTGTTATATTATCTCAGGATGGATTATCATTTTTAATGTTAATAATTTATCTTTATAGTATGCCACGCAGAAATGAACGCTATATTAAATAAGAATTCGAGCAAATTGGAGGGTTGTAAGATGTATGTAAGCCTTTTTCCCTGCAATGAGTGTGCTAAAGCAATTATTCAATCTGGTATAAAGCAGATTTATTATATGTCTGATAAAAACAAAAATAAAATTGATACTAAAGCGTCTAAGAAAATGCTTGATGCTGCTAAAGTTGTATATGAGTATGATTTTTTTAATTTATTTTTCATTATTTTTATATGCAGAACTATTATATTTAACGAGCAACAAGAATACTAGATCTATTTTTTTTTTATAGACAGTTTACACCACGCAAAACGAAAATTGTGATTGATTTCGATGATGTTAATTCCGAATTAAGTTTAAACAATTCTCTATCAAGTTTAAACATTTCTAAATCTGTAGACAATGAAACTAATTGAGATGTAATCAATCGTAACAACAACGACTACGATTTGCTGACTTCATCGTTAAAAGATAATAATAGAATTTTACAGATGCAGATATAAGTTCGTGAAGAGAAATATGAAACAAAAATGAAACTTTAATAAAAAAGTTGAATAAAATAATATTTTAATAATAGATTACGTATATATATTTGTTTATTTATTTTTTATTTTCTTCTTGACATGGTATAGGTCAAATCTTATTTAAATAAGAAGTCACCATTAAAGTCGTAATTGTGTGACTTAGATTGCTGCACAAATAGGTATTCTCTGAAGAAAGTCAGTCAATATTTACATATAAAATTTAATGAAGAATATAGGTACAAACGCAGATAGAGAATACCACAATTTTTTTTTAATTCTTTACACATATAGTTACTTTTATTTTCCACTTTTTTAATCGGTTGTGGATATTTAGTAAGAAATAAATAAACTAATGTACAGAAAGTGAAGTGAGTTTTGTAATAATACATGTATAATATTATTAAGTATATATAACACAGTAGCTTCTTTTTCTTTTTATTTTTCTTTCTTTAATATATATGAATTACCTGCTGTACAAATGTAAATGTGGGCGAGAAAAAATGTGGTATGGCATGATAGAAGCATGTAGTGTGTGTACAACTTCTTTCAAACGGTTAAAATAAGGGACAATTGAAACTACATGTTTAACGTGTCTGTACCGTTATAGCAAATAGAATGATTATAAATCCAAGAATTTATATATATATATATATATATATATGAATATGCTTATGTACATACTATACACGTGAAAGTTTATGTTTTTAAAATGTGTCGTTTTTTACCGCGATTTTGTAATTGTTCTTTGTCGAAAATCTAACGAGAAAAAGTATGTATCACAAAAAGTATTGTTTTATATGAATTATTAACTGTACCGAATGAAAAGAGCGTACATCATTTTTTCTTCCCCCCCCCTCCCCGCCCGGCATAAACACTGGAACATTATAACTTATTGTAGGATATAGGTAAAATATTTACAGCTATATCTTTTATTTAAATCAAGATTGAGGCAAGAAGGACTAAAAGACAAATCTGGATTTAATATTTAAAAAATATGTCTGATTCTTATTCAGTATTATTTATTTTCTTTCTTTTTTTTTTTTTCTAAATTATTTACGAGCAAGTGTCATAGAAAGTTCTTTTTTTTTTTTTTGACGAGAGGTATAACAAACTTGGATAAAGATTGGAGCAATTAATATATAAAAATTTTGTAAAGAGAGATAGAGAGAGAGAGAGAGAGAGAGAGAGAGGAGATTGGAACAGTCGCGTAAAAGTTGTGTTGTATTATAAGAAGAACAAAAAACGAAGACATTTATCAAAATGAACAATAAAACAGTTAACGCAATAAGTAGTATATAGATAAAGATGCGTAATCGTTGAAAAGAATTTGCGAATAAAGATGATAAACAACGCGGGACGCGCGTGTATTTTACTAAAATTTCGAGAAAAATTCTCTACACCATATATAGAAATATTTAATGGTATAATTCTCGTTATACAAAGCCGCATGACAATATGTATAATGATTAGATGACTACAGATGAAAACGAATGATACTTACAGAATAAGATGCTTATTTGTAGCATTAATTGCATAGCCCTGAGAACACATACCATGCATTTATACAAAATGAACAGCTTTTTGTTTGTTTTGTTTTGGTTTTCTTTTTCTTTCTTTTCTTTTTTGTTTTTAAAATTGCGTGTGTATCGATTTTGCGATTAATTATTTGACAATAATATTTTTCACATACAAGATTCCATCGATTTCCTAATATCTTTTTTATATTCGATACTTAATTAGCTTTTCAAAATTGTGGGAGGGTAGTAGATTTGTAAGTCGAATAAATACTGATATATTATAATTGTGATTATAATTACGGATGGTGACTAACTATACAAGAGACATTCGCGAATTTATTATTGTTCGGGAGCGAGTATGCGAACATAAAACACACACGTACAGAATAATTATTTCTTGACTGAAAAATAAAAAATGATGTATCCTACTATCATGGAAAATAGACGGAGACTGGAGATAGATTATATATTGGCAAAGTATTGCTGGAAGTATGTACAAAGATTATTATTATTATCATTATTAATATTATAATTATTATTATTATTATTTATTATTATTATTATCATGATCATGATCACCATCACCATCACCATCGTTATCTTCATTTTCATCTTCATCTTCTTCTTTATCATCATCATCATCATCATCATCATCATCATCATCATCATCATCAATATCAATATCATTGTAATAATAATTAAACGATATTTATCGAGAGATGGTGTATTTATTTAAAAAAAAAAAACAAAAGAAAAAAGTCTCTAAGAAAGAATACTAAGCTAATTATGAGTATCTATTTATTATTAAATATCTCAGACGAAAGCGAGGTAATCATAATGATTCATTCTCTGATTTCTATATACCGGTAGGCTTCACTGTTATATTTTTATTAAAACTCCTGTAATCCTGTTTAACACATACAGATGCATGATAATTCGTTTATCGCGACACTTATTGATTTCAATTTGATAAGATACTTTGGTAATTTGCGTATACAATACGCACAAGTGTTTGTTGTTTGTTAGCTTATTCTTATTTTATTTTTTTTTTTTTTAATTTTCTTCTTTTTTTCTCCTTTCTTTCTTTCTTTCTTTTAATGATACTTAACAGTTAACTTTCACAGAGGACTTTTCGTAGTGGAGATGAGCACACAACTACGGGTATTTTTTAATTTTAATAATAATTCATTAATTGTTCGATGGAATATCATATTCAATCAGGGTCTACAATCAAAACGCAGATCATTGCCCTGAAAGAAACGACACGGCGAACTAATTAAACTTTTAGTGTTACGTAGCGCGTGTGTGCGTGTGCGTATATGTGGTGTGTGGTGTGTGTGTGTATAGTACGTTTATCCGTGTTTGCTGTTGTTTGCTTTGTTTTCTAAAGAAGGAAAACGTTTCAAATCTATAATCGCATATTTTTTTTGTTTTTCACTTGAATTTAAATTACCAGTTCACACAAGATGATAAGAGATGCGAACCAGTATTATTATTATTATTATTATTAATATTATCATTATTATTATTATTATAATTATAATAATTATTATTATTAATATTATTATTATTTAGTTCATACGATATGGAACCAAGGTCCATCATCATCCACAACTGCAGATATATCGACGTACGACGCGTACATGGTACAGTTTTTTTTCTTTTCTTTTTTTTTTTTTTTTTTTAATTTTTTTTTGTTTTGTTAAATCGACGCTTCGATGATAGTCTAAGTTATTTTTTCGCGGGTCTCTCTACACGGTAGAGTAATTATTTAGGCATCGCTGATGCTGCTAGACGACGATACAACACAACACCCAATCCTCCTCGGTTTTTTTCTTTTTTTTTTTTAAACATTCGAGTAGAAATTACTCTTTTTTTAATAAGCGCGCGCGTAATGAATGTATACAAGTCTTTTTATTTGTTTGTTTGTTCTTATTTTTTTCTTTTTTTTCCCCCATGTTCTTCTTCTTCTTCTTTGTACCAATATGTTAGTCTTGCACGTCTTCTTATTTTACACACTGCACGGTATCATTATCCCCATCCCCACCTACCCACCCGTTTATTTCAATGCACACTGTTACAATATTTTTCACTTCTTTAGACAAATTAAAAAAGAGCGTTTTTTTCTTTTTCTTTTGACAATCAAAGCATGCTTCGAATTATTTTCTTTCTTTCTTTCCTATTTTTTGTTGTTGTCCTTTTTCTTCTGTCGTTCTTTTCTTCCTTTCTTCAATTTCTTTCCCTTGATAATATTAATCTATTTCCAGTCCTTTTGTTTAAATTATTCTTCAAAAAGTATGTGTCTCTCATGTGTCGTCAGAGTTCTCTCGTATTATCAATTGAATTAAGTTTTTGTTTATGTTGTTGTTTTTTTTTTTTTTTTAAATCTTTATATCCCCAGCACCATTCTAATGAATTTAGCCACTGTTCTTTTTATTTTTGTTTTTTTTCTTCGTTCACTGTTATATTATATGCACTAAATGTAGAGATGATCTTCTAGGAACAACACAGCTATAACGCGCGTGTGTATATGTGTTTACATTGCTGCTGCTGCTGCCGGCCGCTGCTACTTGTTTGTTTTTTCATCATCGATTATACCATACGCCAATTCCTTCATTATTTTCTTCTTCTTTTACTTTTTTGTATGTCTCTCTCTCTCTCTCCCTTTCTTTTCTACCCTTGTTTTTTTTTCTTTTTTTTTTTTTTTTTATTATTTATCCTCGTTAAATTCCTAAATTGAATTAAATTCTTAGAACGATCATTCGAGAAAACGTAGATCGATACGCTTCGACATTATTTTATTAATTTATTTATTAATCCACCTCTTGAAAAAACACGATTTGCCTCGCCTAACTACGTGGTAGCAAGCCAGTTACGACGCTTGATAGCGCGTACCTGGATCAGTTCTTAATAGAATTTTCTTTATCTTGATGATTGGCAGTTGCTTTAGTAGTAGTAGTGGTAGAAGTAGTAGTAGTAATTGCAGTAGTAGCAGTAGTATTGGTGGTAGTAGCAGTAGTAATAGTTGATGTTGTTGTTGCTGTTGTTGTTGTTGTTTCTTGCAACCGAAATGCAGTAGCGTACGGAAAACGTTCGCGACATTTAGTTATAAACTCGGCTATCGTACTGTCGCAATAACCAAAGTCACCGTTTTGCATTGACTCGAGTACTTTAGTGCAATTCTTCAATGTCACATTTTCAAGTTCATCGACATTTGTAACGAGAGATAATGCACGCGTCTGTGCCGACGGGTCCAACAAATACAACATTCTTGCACCTTGAAGCAAATGGGGTAAAGAAGTACTGTTTTTCTTCAAATATTCCGTATTCAATTGTACCGCCGTTGAATCGGAAAATATGTCTGCTGTTTGTCGTTTAACAACTTCACCAACGGCACCCTCCAAGGATAAACGATTTGTATTCAATAAAAATCGCACCAAACACGTATGAAGATCTGGATTATTCGCGTCCAGCCTATGAGCACGTTTTATTGACCGCAGCATTAACAGTGTACGGCCTGGAATCAATATTGTTTTTCAATTAATTATAACATTCCTTCAATCATCATCATCATCATCATTATCATTGTTGTTGTTGTTTAATTTTAACCCTCTATAATTCTGTTGTTTGTTGTCATTTCATTATTAACTCTATAGCGTTACATTAGTTTACGTTGTTTAATTACAGAGGGTTCAAATAAACGATGAACTTTTATATTTTATTATATCCCCATCCTCCACCCCACCCCATAAAAATTTCTATTTACCTTTACGTATGTAGATTTCAAATGCCATTAGATGTGTTTCTATTCTATTTGCTGCCAGATCTTGAAATGGTTGTAA